AGAAATAACTTTGATGTAACCTATTTCATTAAGGTTTGTTTAGTCATATTACTTAATATTTTTCCTTGAATAAAACCCAATTAATTTACATGTTAATTCACCTAAAGCACATTTTGTAAATTATATGACAAAATATGTTTAACAGATTAGTTTATTTTTATGTGTGTGCGTGTGTGTGTGTGTGTGTGTGTGTGTGTGTGTGTGTGTGTTTATTTATGGTTTTAGTTCACTTTAATACCCTGGTTCTAATAGTCTACAGTGGCAAAAAGACTATAAAATATATGACATGTTAATAATTCATTGAAAATGCAACTTGCAGGTCATTCTGGCCAAGAGCTGTCCATTTACCCGTGCAAAGCCTTATGGGTCACGGCACGTTTGATGACCGTGGGCATCTGGTATCATTTGCAGTAGCTCATCAGCTTCAGTGAGATTCAGCTGTATATCGAATTAGTTGCGCTTGTGTCGTGGCATTCGGTGTATCTGTGAACGCATTCCTCTTGAGGCTGACAGGTGACCACATTACAGATGAGCTTAAAGAACGGCCCACCTCGCGTTTCAAGAGCTAACAGATAGGCTTAAAGAATCGTTTCAGCCTATTACTGCCACTGCAGCGCAGTGTTTAAGTGCAAACATGCTTCCTCTAGGAACGACAACATTAATGACTGGAGTAGGAGGAAGTGTAATTGTTGTTCCTCGTGGAAAATAGCCTTCAAAGGTGTGATGCACATGCACACACGCCTGTGAACAAACAAACAAGCACACACAGTGTAGGAGGCTCTGAGAGCAGTGCTTCAAAGACTGCAGCACCCGGTCTGATGTTTCTGCTTAAAGGCCGCAGAGAAAAAAAGCGGAGGCTGCAGTCGCCTCATCCGCTCACCTGCCCGCTGGAGACTGACATCAAACTCTGAATAAAACCAACACAACACACTGGACTCTGTGAGAAAGAGATGGGCTTTTGGTTTGTAATGTCTTGAATCTTAAAGGGATAGTTCACCCAAAAATGAAAATTTGCTGGTAATTTACTCACTCTCAGGACATCCAAGATGTGCATGACATTTTTCTTCAGTAGAACAGTAAAGATTTTTAGTTGAAATCATTGTCCTTAGTGATTCGTAGAATGCAAGTCAATGGCTACCGGCACTTTGAGAGTCAAAAAAGCATATACAGACAATACAAAATTAATCCCCGTGGCTCCTGATGATATATTGAGGTCTTATGAAGCGAAATGATCGGTATGTGCAAGAAACTGAACATTAATTACAACGTAATCCAAAGCCTCAGTTTATTTTCAAAAATGCTAACTGATTCTTTTGAACAGTTAATTTCAGTGAACTGATTCAGTTAACTGATTCACCTGTTCATTTACATAATCATGCACTGACATAACGTATATACAGTTATATTAAAGTACCCAATAATGATGTGAAACGTGGATGATTTACATGTCTAAAACATATATAGTGATAAACTAGTCTTAATCAACTTAAATGCATCTTGGTTTAAAATAAACGCCACTTTCTGTACGTGTGCTTTGAGATTCAAACTCTTCTGGTCTTCACTGTAAGTTTGTTGATCTGATCCAGACATCAGCCCGAAGGAATCTCAAACTATTTGTTATTAATAAAATTAACAATAAAAATAACAATTAATTCAAAATATGAATAAAATCTAGTATCCCAATGACATTACCCATTTTAAAATAATCCTAGCTTTATATTATTGCAATATATATTGTTAAACATTTAGTTTTGACCAATTGTAACTGCATTTATGTGCAACATTATAAAGTCTGTGTAAACTCATATTTTATTCATGTTGAGAAGGTACCAGGTAATCCAAGTGATTCGAATTACTTTTCAGGTTTGTGGTAATTAAATTTGGGAAGATACTCCAATTTTGAGGCATTTAGTAGCAACTAAATGAGCAGAACTCTATATTCTGTTGGATTTTCTGAGTCATTTCTGTGAAATCACTCCATTTGCTGAAACCTGACATGAAGTGAAGACAATCATAACTGTGTTTCTTATTCACAAATGTTAAAAGAATCATTTAGGAATGAAAATCGATATGAGGAATCAGTCCCAGAATTGCTAAATTCCCTACGATTCCCATCCCTGGTTCCCCAGACATCCCATCAGCCATCACTCCATGAGCGGCCTGTCGACTTCATTGTCTAGACACTAGATGTTTGTATTCTTCTGTAAATACTTCAGGCTAAATTAAATGCCAAGATATTTGTGGCTCTATCAGAACCATATGAGATTTCAGAGAATCAATAGAAGAAATCTTAAAGCAGCACCATATAGGACTCGGACTAAAGGTCAAACCGAGTGGCACGTAAAAGTTGGAAGCATGTGGAAAACAACAAATAGTTTGAGATTCCTCCAGGCTGGTGTCTGGATCGGGTCAACACACACTTACAGCGAAGACGAGAAGAGTTTGAATCTCAAAACTCACATACATAAAGTGGCGTTTATTTTGAACAAAGATGCACTTTGACTTTTCACAAGTTGAACATTTAATTAATTAGCTTGAAATAACATTGTTCATCCAAAAATGTACCTTGTGTCACAATTTACTTATGTTGTTCCAAACATGTTTGACTGTCTTTCTAGTGTGTTTGGTTTGTGAAAAGGCTGTGCCAGTGTTCTTTTAGTATCATTGATATTAGGGCTGAACGATTTTGGAAAATAATCTAATTGCGATTTTTTTTTTTACCAATATTGCGATTGCAATTTAATATGCAATTATTTTTTAAAGCTATTTATGTTCTGTATTATTCAACAAAGTCAAGCTATAAATCATTATATAGTATAGTATAGTATAGTATAGTATATAGTAAATAAGCCTGGTGTAAACATTAATATGAAAGTCAGTAACAAATCACACAAACTAAAGTAGATTGCAGAAATATAAAAACAAATCTGTTGCTTTACCACACTACTTTAGGTCATTCAGAGTCACTGTAATAAACATATGTAAACATGTGGACTGCACTAAACACCATCTGTTAACTTTAGACCAGTGGTTCTCAAACTTTTTTGGTTGCACCCCCCTTTAAACCAAAAAAAAAATCTGCTTACAAATAGCCAACGGTATTTTAGTGTCACGCTGAAAAATAACTAACTAAATAAATAAGATTAAGGTTATACTATTTTAAGAATAAAGTCAAAATTACGATAATAAAATCATCTTTTATTGTGTGAAAATGTGAAAATTACACCTATAAAAAAAAAGTCTGTGGCATCCAACCTGTCATTCTTAACACTAAAAACAGCAATAAAACGTAGGCTTATAGATGTTTTTGAAACTCTAATTGATCGATTTCATGAGACATTCGTTTGTATTAAATTGTTCTGATTTTTTTTCAATATGCATTCAAATATTTATTCATGTTTATTTCGTGTTGCAAATATTAAAGAGGAAAATATAATTGATTCACATGCCGCTTGAACTGAGGCGAATATAGTTATCTCACTACAAATAAAAGACAGTAAAACACATTTGTTTGTATTTTCATCTTAAAATTGACAGAAGGATGAGACTTTGGGTTATAAAGTCACGTAACGTAACGTGTGAGATGTCCATTTGTGGTGTTTTTCCCGTTTGAATGCCTCCAATCACAGGCCGGATTACATGCTGTATTTCATTG